TTGTGCCTGATATAAAGCAGCCCTCTGCATCATTTAGCCACATGTGCAAAACAAATTTCTGTTCTCACTTTAGTGCCATTAGCTGCAGACCTAAACACTAACACTGTGTTTGCAGGGAGGGGGTGTGGAGGGTGGCATAGAGGAATGGAAGAAGAAGACATATGTGTTTACAGAGGCTGAAGAAGGAGGAAGGGCACAAGTATCTAGACTCTCGCAGATCGTCCAGGTCAGCCTAACACCATTCGCGTCCACAGCTAACTGTTGTGTGTGTGTTTGTGAGCAGGTAAAGGTCTTCTTAAAGCAAAGAGAGGCTAAAAGAGATGTGTTAATAATGTAGGTGTTGGAGTTTTATAGAATCTACAGTATAAATGAATGGTGGGAGATCACATCATGACTGAACGGGACCAGCAGATGGGTGGAAAGTTGGCTCTGTCCGTAACTCCATTTGGACATCTTTACAGCGAAATTTAAACTTGTGCAAATATATGAGACGCTGTTTCTCATTAGTCACCTACATGCAGACTGAATTTTGAAAAAATAACAGTGAAGTGGTTACACTTAAATCAGTGGTTGTGGATATATGACACACCATGCAGCAGACTTGCTGCAGAACAACTCTGATCCATCAGAATGAATGCAGGACCTCTGGAGGTGTCCTGTGGTGCAGAGCGGGTCCTGTGGGTTATGGGGCAGGACCTTCATGGATTGGGTTTGTTCCAGTGCATTTATCAGAGCGGTGTATGGTGAGTTTGGAGTTTATAATCAAAGGCTTTGGCATTTTTTCTAGGCTTCATTGCTTATTTGGACAATTTTTGTTGCGTGGTGGAGCTAGGGGAGACCACAGCCTTGGGGAGTGTTAAGCAACATTAATGTACTTTTCAGTACTCATAGCCGTTAATGCTTTGAAGCGCTCACTGCTTTGTCCTCCTTTGTGACTCTGCAGAGGCAAAAATGAACGTCCTCCATTAAAATTCAGTCAGGAAATACTTTACTCAGATCACCCAAACGAGAGCTTTCACAGGTTGCTTCCACGTACACTTCTACACAGTCATTCTTTGTTTTGCACCCAAATGAGTTTCCCCAATGCTGAATATTATTTAGTGCAGGTTTAAGGCACCACTGAATTACTGTCACTTTTCAGACCTGGGAGCAGAGACACTCTGGAGTATGTGATCAGCGAGATGATCAGTTTTGTCCACTTCACGTCTCAGAGGTTTCAGTGTCCATTTTAGTAAAACATGTTTGTTGTTTAAAAGCAGAAGCTGGTTTGAAGGCTGTCACCAGACCAGGGAAAAGCAGGACAAGTCCGCTGCAGACACTTTATAATGGAGACCAGGTGAGAACAATGGCACATATTGTCCCACCACACACACAATCGCACACACATAGTGTGACTTGAGGGCTACAGCTAGTAGGTAGCAAGTTTCACTTTCACTGTACAGACTGTACCAACTGCAACATCTAAAGCTCAGTACTTAACACACTGTAGTATTAAACATAATGCAAAATGAACACTTAGGCTCAGGCTTCCAGTCTCTGACGAGCTGCTGCATTTAGTTAAATCACTTTAAATTTGTATCAAGCTGCTTATTAACATTCAAACATTCAAAAATCCGTGAAGGAGTTAAACTCTGTACTGACAGCTGACCTTCAGCAGTTTGTTAAAAGGCTTTTGTTGAAAGTTGTTTGTGCCTCTCTTTCTCTCTCTGCATCGTCCTCATCACAAGCAGCTGGAGCTGTTGGCAGCTCACAAGTCCCTCCAAGGCCGCAGGGAGCTGCTGGAGCAGGCATGTCTGAGCCACACGAGGAAGCGCCGCGTGCTCTCGCCCGAGGATCTCAAACACCTCATTGTTGACGACATGCACAGCCTTATTTACTGCTATGTACCCAAGGTTGGTAAGCACGTACAGATGAAATGAAAGAGGTTTGAGAGAATGTGAGCGGATTGGATGATGATAGAGGGAGACAGGTGCATGTTTTTATTTCACAGGTGTTTCCTTTTCTGACTTGCAGGTAGCCTGCACTAACTGGAAGCGTGTCCTCATGGTCCTCACCAGCGACGGCCGCTACACCGACCCCCTCGCCATCCCCGCTAATGAGGCCCACGTCGCAGGTAACCTCCGCACGCTTTCGGAGTTCTCGGTCGCGGAGATCAACCAGCGCCTTCGCAGCTACCTCAAGTTCATCTTTGTGCGGGAGCCCTTTGAGCGGCTGGTGTCAGCCTACAGAAACAAATTCACGCGCAGGTACAACACTGCCTTCCACAAACGCTACGGAACTAAAATCATCCGCCGGCACAGGCCCAACGCCAAGCCGGAAGCCCTCGAGAAAGGAGATGATGTGACTTTCCCTGAGTTTGTCCAGTATCTTGTGGACCCTCGGACGCAACGGGAGGAACCTTTCAATGAGCACTGGGAGCGGGTGCACTCCCTCTGCCACCCCTGCCTGATCCACTACGACGTGGTGGGGAAATACGAGACTCTGGAGCCCGATGCTCAGGCCGTGCTCAGATTGGCCGGAGTGGAGGGGATGCTTCAATTTCCAACGTCCGGCAAGACGACCAGGACAGACGGCCACATGGCGGGGCGTTACTTTAAGCACATCAGTCCTTTCTTTCAGAAAAAACTGTTCAATCTGTATCGCATGGACTTCATGCTCTTCAACTACTCCACACCAGAGTATCTCAGGACTTGATGAGCATCACTTGTCCTTTCAGGCACTTTTGTGTCGCTCCCTGCCTCGGAGTGGTCCACCACAAGCAGAGACTTGACACTGGGACTCTCCAAGGAAAACAGTTAACGGCTGTGGAGAGTGACTGGATTTTCTGGTTTCAGTAAGTGAAACTAAAAACTGCCTAAGAAGACAGATGGTGTGTGTGCTGTGATCTACTGAGTGAGGGTGGAGTTTTATCTTTAGCACAGCAGACTGCAGGTGACACATCATCTCTTTACAAACAGATCCTTTTTGTGTTTGTTGCAATTTCTTGCCAAAGTTTTGCTTCATCAAAATTAGCAAGCCTTGCTTTGACTTTAGTTTGAGTGTTGTAGAGCTGGTGAAATGTGCCTCATCAGCATTTTTCTGCAGCTCTCGCTACAGATTTCTTTTCTTTGTTTTTGCATCTTCTGAGAGGTAGTGAGCCAGAAATGAAACTTGAGAGGAGCAGGTTCTCTTCTCACAGGTAAATGTGCTGACTGTGAAACTGAGCACAGTGTTGCCGTCTCTTAGGAAGACCTTTATTTATGTCAGTATTTATTGTTTTGGAGAGCAAGGATGTCGGGCTCATTTTTTTTCCCCAGAGGAAATGATTTTCTTTTCTTAAAGAAAAAAGCTTTTCCCTTTCAGAGTCAATATCTTTTTGCCATGTCAGCTTTTGCACATTAACCGATGCTATAACGGGAAACCGTCAGAGCGTGCCACATCAGCCTCCTGCTTTAAAACTGCACAAATCTCGCAGCTCTCGTTCACACCGGCTCCCACAGATCCCAGAGTGATTTCCAGTCGTAGACGCTCCCTCATTCCAGTAAAAGTGTGTTGCCGTCCCTCATCTATCGTGTGCCTGTATTTAGCTCTGAGCAGGTAGGCTGAACAAACAACCACATAGCTGTGGTCAGGGCTGCGTCCAGCCCAGGACTAGCCCTGGTCAGAGCTCCCCTTGTTGGGCTGTAGGCAAGCACAACAAGGTTTAATCCAACTACGGTCACTGAACAGGCCTCGTTCAGTAAATATGATCAATACACTGTTTGACCTTCATTAACTCTTTGAAGACAAAATATGCATTTAAGATGGACTTGAAATATTTGCCAAAGATAAAAATAACTTGTTTAAAATTCATATTACCTCAGATACTTCCTTGCAAGCACTATAAGTGAGAGACCGTTTGTATACCCATACATATCTTTTTTTATCCCAGCGTCCACTTAAATTATAGGAAGATTAGATTATGCTTTAAAAATAACTCCCAAAGGCATTTCAAGGTGCCTTTAACCAACAATAATTGGGCACAAGATAAGAGATTTGGATCTCTCTTAGACGAATAAACTGAAATCAAACCAAACAGTGCTTTGATTCCTTACAATAATCTGAATATCTCAGTGCTACAGTTTATCAAGATTAAGAGCTGGGATTACTTAGTCTTTGTAGATATTTGAGACATGATCTCAAAACAACAGATGCGAACGTTTCCATAAAAAACACACCCACAGTTTGCTCAGTGTACACTGAAGCTTTGGCTGTTTATTCTTATCTGCACATCCTTCTGTTTCTTTTATAAAGTATGTTTAATTTAGTCAGACACATGCCAACCTTTATTATTTTCCTGTAATTACGCTTTGAAAAGTGCAATATTAGTACGTGTTAAAAGTTGTCTTTATTCAAGCCTTAATTTTGTGCCATATTTTATTTTTCTATTCCAGCCATGGATTACAGGGTGTTCCTTTCCAATGCTTTCCTGCATAGCAGTTTGTAATTTAAGTCGTAATTTGTAAGAAGCTGCAACTTGGCAAAACCTGATTACACACTTTATTTTTTTCTTCTGTTTTATGATCTACTGCACAAAATGTATGTTTCACCTTTTAATTTAGAATCTGCTAAGTTTTCATCTCAGATGCCCTGACGCTGCTGTGTGGGACACAGCTAGCCAAAGAAACCATTTTCTGTAGAAATGTTCTTTGAGTCAGACCTTTGTAATGTTGAGTCATTGTGAAACGGCAAACAGAGCACAATCTGAAATAATCTCTCATGCACTTGTGACACCAAGCTGTGAATCTGATAACTGAAGTGCACTTGCTGATGTGATAGTGAATGACTGGTTACCTTGAAGTTTTAAAAAAAATATAAACCCACAATGACAGCACTGTGTGTGTCTGCTTTATTATTATGACAGTTGTCCTATAGTTGAACGCCATTTGAACACAGCTGTGCAGAAACTATATTTTGTGTGGTTTTTTTGCAACTCGTGCAAAAATCACTGTTCGTGCATTCTTTACATTTTCAGTAGTAGGAATAGTAAAACTGCCCCAAACTTTAAAAACCATACACATGCTGGAGTAGCGGGACTTTTTTTTTTCTTATTTGTATGATAATGCCACAGACAATCGGAAATTAGTCTGTTAGTTTTTTATTAAAATAGAACTGTTCATAACCACAAAGTCACATTAACACTCACCAACAATTTTGCTTTAATCTCCAGACACATAAGACAGCACAGTGTAGGTATGGAAGCTTGAAGAACTGAACACAGCAAGATTAGAAAATAAAGGCGCTTTAAAAAGGCCCTAACGTCATAACGTGGCAGTGTCAACACTGAAGTACAGTACAAGCTCTGACAAAGGTAAAGGAAAAGACAAAGAACTGTTGCAACATTTAAATACAGATTGTTTTTTTTTTAAACATTGAGATGCTTGTAGACGAGATTTTAGTTACAACATGGTTGACATTTTTGCTTTCAAGGCAACTTCAGACTACTAATAAAACACAGTGCAAGTTTGCAGTCAGATGTTTTTGTTCCAGTTGCACTCCATACTGTCCAATAGGGCTGGATGATACACTAAAAAAGAAATAAATAAAATAGAGGTTTGCTTTCTTGCAAAAAGCTAGATGCAAAGACTGACCACTCTCAATTAAAAGCCATTTAGCAGTGAGCTAAGTTGAGCTAATAGCTAGCAGGTATATTATATTAGCAGTTAATGTTCGTTTTCATTGTTTATAACTTGTAGATTTTTAGGCCTCACTCACACAAGCCTAGAGACTAGTGGACAACCCTGTCTTCCCAGTTTCACTACCACCTGTTGAATAGTTTTTAAAAGTCAGCATCTTCTGGACAATTTGCTGAAGACCGCAGCAATCTGCTAGTGACTAAAGCAATTTCAAGGAGGTTTTTGGTGCAGTACCATATATCTTTCTGCAATCATTTTCATGCTAGTGACTGCACACAATACAGAGAAACCAGTTGCCAGTTGAATGCACACTGCCCTGGTCTCTAGGCCCGTATGAAATGAGCTGAGCAAACAACCTCACAGTGACTTCTCACAGCAATTCACAACTGATCAGAGAATACATGTTTGGTTGTTGCCAGATGGTTGCAGACTGTGTGACTAGGTCCTTAGGTTATGTTAGTGCTAAGATAAATAGTTATCACTCTAAAGTTTAAAGCAAACAAGTATTTAGCTATCTTTAACAATTAGCTAAACTGCTACCATTGCTTCACTTTAAAGGTTTAGCTGTAATTAGCAGGTGCTAGCTTACCTAAGCCAGTTAAACTTATTCTATACCTTACACATATAGCTCTATTGAGCTATACATATAAGTATAGCTCAATAGGGAGCTATACAAGCATAAAGTTATGCTAGTTTTAAGGTACAGTGTTTCACTATTTAAAGTTCATATTACGGTGATTGCCTTTGACATGGATAAATAGTTAGTTTTTTCCATTTTACAGTTTAAGCATTTAACTGGGATAAAAGGCAGCACTGTGAACAAGTTATCGCCATCCCTAGAACTTGGATCCATGTTTATAAAATTACTAAATTAAATGCTCAAGTAATGTTCCCATGTTTTTATCTGTGATTGTTCTCTTTAAACCATTTGGTGTAGTGGTCTGCAGGTATGCGAGACTCCACTTTGGATCAGAGCATTTTGTAGTTACAGGGTGACCCTCAAGTGAGGCCCAATGCAAATACCCTCTAATTTGTTATAACCTGGCAGACATCACGCCACCTACGGTAGACTACAAGAACATCATTTTATATGTCGTCCATGTGAACATGAATGAAGCGGGGGGACTACTACAACAACTCTGGCTTTACCAGCAACATCCATTTATTGTCCTTCTTATCCAAATATTTTACTCTTTTACATTTTTAGAAATGGCAGTTGAAAATAATAATTTATTAAAACACTAAACTTTTCCTTTTAACAGTTTTAAATTAAATGTGCGTCTAATTTGGATCACTGTCAAAAATTCAAACAGCAGACAATCCACAGTCAAACAAACATAATAGTCTAAATAACTAATTTCCTAAAACTGTCATATTAACCTTAATTGTTATGCGAATGACAAATTTTAAATTATATCATCCAGCCCCTTCACCCACACTGGTTACGACTCACTTGTGTGCTGGTACAACACAATCTTAGCTGTGGTCTAAAATCTCACAGTATCACAGTTAATACACTAATCTCAGATGACTAACCTGGAATTCAAGTAGTACACGTCTATTGTTCTTATGCACCTAGTGCTTAACAGTGTTACAATAAAAGCTTTCAGCAAAGACCTATTAACACTGCAGTACCTCACATAAATGTTCACTGAGAAGACAGGTTGTTGACAGAAACACATTTATGTCTGAGGTTTACTCGAAAAGTGCATGCACGTGAAAAATGAGAAACTCTCCTTGTGTTTAATGAGTGCATGTACACACACATTTGTGTTTCAGTGTTATTTTGAAACATCATGTAAACTCAAACAGAAAGACAAGGACATAGTTTGGGCCAGTCTGATTTAGTCACCCAAATGCTGTCATGAACTTTTACTGATTCTATCTTTTATGTTTTATTGAACATTTGAATGTTCAAAGTCTGAATATAAAGCAGCTTAAACATGACTTTAACTGTTACGTGAATTAAAAAAGGGCACAGTGAACACAGGCAGAATGTGACACCAGATGCAAATTATACCAGCGTGGATTAAACGTGTCCAGAAGAGTGGGATATTTCTGAACTCTACTATTTTGGGGTTCTAAGACAAGACAAAGAAAATCAAGGATATCAAGACAGACTATGACCAAGAACTGGGGTTAAAGGTCAGTTTTGGATTTGGTCAAGAGCTGAGCTAAAACCTTAAAGTCCAATATGTGCAAAGACTTTCCATAACCGACAAAATAAGTATGCACTCACTGCTGTAATGATGAGGTCACTATGAATAGTAAGGCTTTGTTGATCCTCCATTAAAGGGATGTAATATCAAGTAGTGAGAGAATTCCAGAGGCAGCTGTCTGGTTTTTTAAAATCATCAAGTGGCAGCACAAAGTTCACAACTATCAAAATATTGCAGAACGCTTTCTGAACATTGAGATCGTGACGCACAAGGTGAGAGGTGCACACACATTTTCACACTTCAGTGTTTAGAAACACATTTTTAACAATTTCTAGTATGATGTGAAATCTGAACAACAATCTCCTTTCTCATAATCATTGGCTTATTGACTTAATGTGCACGCTAACGATACTGTACATTTATCTAGTGAATGTCCAACAAGAAGCTCTACATAATCTGAACATTAGATATTCAGGAGAGCGCTGTGCATTGTGGACAAGAGAAAAAAAAGATTTACAGATGTCAAACATTTAACAGTTATTATTTCTGTCCGTCCATCTGTCTCAGTATCTCAACATTATAAATCCGCACAAAGACTGGTGTCTATTTTGGTTGTTAGAATCCTTATAAAGTACATTCTGTGGATTATGATAGAGATAAGAAGATTATCATGAGAACATTCCCCATTATTTTATATTCCAGTTAGTGCAGCAGTCCCCAACCTTTTTGGTGCCACGGACCCGTTTAGTGTAATACAATGTTTTCACGGATCGGCCTTTAAGGTGTCGCGGATAAATACAACAAAATCAAATAATATGACCAAGATAAAAACCGTGGTATTTTGTAAGTATAGTAATAAACGCAAATTCACTGTGTAATTCTGTAACTTTATTAGCAGCAGCATCCTGAAATGGGCCAACAACATTGAGAGTAACATCCTCCTCTCTGCCCCTTAATGCTCTCTGGTCGCTATGGTAACGCATAAATATTTCTTTGAAAATAAGTCTCACAATTAAAACATGGGAAAAGACCCAGGGACACTGAGTTAACGATACATTTCACACCTGAGCCTCAACTCACGTGGCGCGTACCGAACGATTCCAGTCGGTGGCCCAGGGGTTGGGGACTGCTGAGTTAGTGTGTGACATATATCATCCTCTCCATCCTCCAAAATCAATGCATAGTGCAATGCACCCAAAGACGGGCTGCTTTAAGTCTGTTCTATCCCTTAGATTTAAAAAGACAAAACAAAATCTTGCTGTCATGCCACTATGATAAGTTGCTACATATTCCACGCAGGGTAACCACATAAGGACCAAGAAACAGAGGAATCATAGTCAACATTAATTCAAAATGAAGGACATCATTTTGGCTAGGCAAAAAAAAAAAGATTGATTGGTTGCTAGGCTTAAAGTGGATGTGTCCAAGCAGAATAACCTATCCAGATGGATGGATGTAAATGGGTGGATGTCACCAGTGCTGTACCTCCCATCAGTGTAAAGGTTTGAATTGTGACAAATACGGATTTCTCAGGTGCAGTGGGAAAGATCCAAAAATGCTTTATTGTCCAATCAAAAGCATTTTTGTTAATGTAACAAAAATCGGGTTCAATACGATGGTGGCAGGCTAAGAGTTCAGTTCCTAATGGAAAAAAAAGTCAGTTTATAGACCCAGGCTTTGAACCACTGACACGCAGCGGAAACAGAGAGCCAGGAAACCAGTGCCGAGCAGGTCTCCCAGGGCAGTCAGGTACGGGATGGAGAAGTTGTCAGGGTCCAGACTCCGTCTCCACATCAAACGGACAATTAGGTCAGCAACATAAAGGAGGATAGCCACCTGAAGAGAGAAGACAACTGGGCTGTGAGTGTCAAAATGAGTACTTGTAAAGTTAGCTTCTTTTCTAACTATTAGCTGCCAGTAATGGACAAATAATCTAATGATATACATGATTTAAACAGCTAAAAGGAAAAGATGGGCGGTTGAAAGTATGGCTAAAGGAATGAAGTTGGTGAATGTAATGGCCCAACTGTCGAAACTGAAAGACCTGTTGTAACAGTATAGTAATATTTAGCAACTGAAAATAAAATGATGGGGAATTTAAATAGTTTTCTAAAGGTTGTCTGTGAAGGTTCTCAGTCATCCAGGTCAGTCTAAGGAGCTTGGAAAGAAAAGCTTCTTGAAGAATTTAAAGAAGTCCAGAGACTTTTCATTCCAAGCTCTTAGACTTTTCTAAAGGTTATGGGTAAGTTGTAAAAATGGCTAATAGTTAAAGTATGGTTAAATCTGTCCCTAAAACAATGGTTGAAATCAGGAAATGTCAGCGAATAGTAAAGCAAATGATTTAAATAGTAACTGTAACATTATTAAGATTAAGAGAATAAACAATGGTTCAAGTATTAAATGTTAGCTCAAGCTGTTGGACAAAAAAAATGGTTTGAGGTAATTACCAAACAAATGAGATTTTTAAATGCACATCATCAACTGCTGGAACAGAAAGTAACTGAATAATCAGTTAGTGATCCAGTTGCCTAGGTGGTCCTCTAAACCATTTACTATCAAGTTATATGCCAATCAGTGCTTCCCTGGAACTTGTGAAAAGTGTATCCCAGGTCCTGATCACTTCCCATCACTAATGCTTATGTCATGCGTAGTTCCTTTTAGTTGCCCAATGTCATTTTCCATCTGGCGCTTTGCTTCTAGTTCAGATGCAGCTTAAGACGCAGCTCTAACTTTGATAGTGAATGGTCTCTGTTTCCAGTTTGTGGCACACTTTAAGTTTCAGTATCATTCTGTGATTAGTTACCAACTGTCTGGCATCTAAACACGTGCGGCATTTACAAGCGTGCACACTGGGCGACCGCAGCAATGTGCTAGTGACCAAAGTAAGCAACAGGACATTTTTGGTGCACCACACTCTCTGAGACAGATTTGAACCAGCAACCTCGGGTGATCACGCACCAGTCGGTGGGAGAACGTGCATTTTCCCCTGAAACCGACCTGAGGGAGCGACGGGGTTTTCAACTGGTCTCTAGGCCGGTGTGACTAATGCCTAAAGTGGTAGAAGTAGAGCTGACTTTAAATAAATAAGATAAGATAAGTGGTCTAAAACAACTAAAAGTAAACAGCTTTCTAACAGTTGTTTATAAAAAAGAAAGAAAGAACAAACAGCTGTTGGAGAGGAAAAAATAAAACCTAGTGGATGAATAGTTGGAGCAGATGATTAGAATGTATATCTAAAAGTGATGGTTAAATGGTTACATGGTCTATATTGATTGTATTAAGCATTTGATTATCAGCTGAAAAATCTGTGATCCGTGGCAGTGTCCTATGAAGCTTCCTAGAAATGGAATCAACTTTTCTGGGCTTGGGCTGTTAGGAAATCTGACATCTGGAACCTCCAGGAGATTACCGAGAGTGCCAAACTATTATTGACTTGGTATCAAAGGACAAAACACAGAATTCTGTTCAGTAACACAGACTTTCCAAACACAAGATAGATGATGTTATGCTGGGGATTGCGCTGGACTTTCTGCTCTATCCTGGAGCAACTCTTTATCCCAGTGAGCTGCTCAAACACACACCTGGTACAGGTCATTTCACACTTTGGTAACAGGTGGTTGCGGCCATTTTGATCAGACTGTACAAAGTCTAAGTCTATAATGTACCTTCTGATGACTGGTTTTCACAGTCTCTGTCAGACTGTCATTGGAAACTTGAGGGTCAGCTGAGAGCCAACAAGTTCATGAGAAACCGCTCAGTGTTGGCTACCATCAACAGGAAAACTCAAATGATTTCTTACAGTGTATGTGGCATGGGGCTGAATCAGTGTACCTGTATCAGAGCAGCACACAGGTAGCAGACAGTGAAGGCTATGGTGATAGGTGCCTCCTCTCCTTGTAGCAGAGAGATGGCGTAAAGGAAGACCAGGTGACCGGGTATAACGAGCATCAACAGCACCCGTGCTGACTTTGAGTTGACCCCTGGGAGACAGAAAATGTAAGAAAATAGTGCCTTTTGTTATCAACCACTGATCTGTATCACCAATCTTTTGACTCCAACTTCTAGTCTAAACTTTACTGTGATTGTATGATGTAACATAATCTGAGTTATTTTACAAGCTCCACATTGTCAATATTGTCACCACTTATAGTTAATCTGACATCAACAGCTGACTTTTTACACATTCTGCAGACTCGGATTGACATCAGCATATTTGGAAGTCTTATTTGCAGTCAGCTAATAGATCAAGCCCCACATTCACACGAGCTGGCCGTTTGTCTCTGGCTGAAAATGACAATGATGGTGGTGAGACAGTGAGTTTAAAACTATGGTGTGGCGAGGCCTGTTGGGTGGCCCTGGGGCTGTAGCTCTTGGGTTTGGATTTCGTGAAGAGGCTGGCTCTTCCTGGGGTTCAGGCAGGTTGGGGTGGGCTGATTGTGTGTCTAGAATGCTTGATTCCAGACCCTCATTAGTAGAATTTATTTTTTACCAATGCCTGTTAGGACATTTAAAGTCAGTTTCCTTAAATCGTTTAAATTTCTGGTTTAGAGAGCTTCCACCGCATGGCAGCATTACCTGAGGAGAAGAAGGTGATGCAGGGATTGGGCCAGTGCTGCCTCATCTTGTAGGGTAGCACCCCTGGGATGCTCCAAAAGTGCAGATAGGTAGAGATCCTGCTGGCCTGGATGGCTACCAAGTTGCCACCCACTCCTATGCATGGGAAGAGAAGGCAAGAGGATGAACGAGCTGAGTCAAAGATGATGTAAACAAAGCAAGAGAAACTACAGGGTGGTTACCAAAGTTCTCTCCCACAAAGAACAGTAAACACAGCTTTAGTGACGCTTAATCTCATTTATTGCTGCCGGCACACAAATTAGGCCAAATAATGACACACTCTTGGCACAGCTGTGATCCGGACAGGGTCTGCAGAGAGACGCGAGCCAGAGCAACGCTAAAGCCTGACCACTCGAGTCACAGTAACTGAAACATAAGAGAGATGAGTACAAAAGAGCACTGCAAAGTGTGGAGACTAGTCACACATGCACGTGGAACACCACACAAATAAAACTGTCTGTAAAAATCAGAATGGGACAAATTCTGGCATAAATATTGTGTCAATACTGGTTGAGCATGAACTGTTTGATGAGCCATTTTCTGATTTCTAATGTGCTCCAGGTGGGTTACACAATCAAACTGGAAGATAAGATGCTGGGTGAAATGAATTTGTTCGCCTCTTCAAAGTCGCATTTCGACACAATCAAGGACAGCTTTTGCTTTTGCTTTTCACAGTCCATTTTCATCTGGTGTTGACAGTGATATCTGTGACTAACTCGGTTATGTCAAGCACCCTTCCAAGTACTTAGCCCCACAAAAAACAAAACCAAACAAAAAAAAAAAGAGAGGCACAGTTGCCATTAGGATAGGGAGAGGAGTGTTTTGTGAGGAAAACATAATGCTGGTTATATTTTGCAAGCCAGAATAGGAAATTTAAACCAGATGGGAAAATTTAGAAATTATAAGCGTGGCGCAAAGAGCGTATGAATTATGAAACAGCCAGAGGATGGGCAGAATCAAAATGAGAAACAGTGACAGGGAGGATCTGTGGTTATTCAAGGCCCTATGAGCTGTGCCAGCACACTGGCTGTGCATCATTAGTGGTTTACATTGACTTCTCAACTATACTCATCGGCTCTCTGCACGCATCACCTCACAGCCAAACCACTCGGCCTTAGGGCTGCTTCTTTTTTGCTTCCTCTTCTCTATGTCATGATGCAGTTTTCATTAAGGCATAAGTTTGACACACATTAAAGATGGCGATCAGGTCTCTATAAGCACAGTGTGATGATCTCTCTGCTCGTCCTTATGTTTATTTGACAGGTTTGTGGTACACACTGTACTACTGCGTCTCAAAAAATGTACATTTTACAGATTCAGTGCACATAAACAGAAATATTTCACCTTTTTCTTTTAATAGCTCATGAAAAGCAGGAATCCAGTATCTCAGATTTAAGTATGTCAATAAATTACTATTCAAACAGCATAAACACCTTACATCTCTCACCCTTGTTTAGCACATACAGCCGCAATCCTTTGGCAAACTTCTGATTTAATGGTTACCCGGATGACGATCATTCACATCCTCCAGGAGAGGATGAACAGTGTTAAAACTGCTACCAAATGGTTCACTGACCATGTTATTACTGTCCTGCCAACTCACCTCACCTAAACTCTAAAAGAATCTTGAAGGTATTGTGAAGAGGAAGATGAAAAACACGCAGGCAGAGCTGAAGGCTGCTGTCAAAATAACACCTCAGCAGTTCCACAAGCTGACTGCCTCCGTGCCACGCTACATTTATGCAGTAATTTGTGGTGATGGAGCTCCCGACCAAGTATTAACATCTTAAAGAAACATACATTTCAGAAGCTGGACATTCCTGTACTGTAAATCCTGTTTTTTTATTGATCTGAGGAGATTTTCTAATGATTTTTGGGATGCTTTTTAATGCTGGTAAGTTGGACACATGGGTACTATGGGAACCGATTGGCTTTGGGAACCAACACCAAGTGGCCACTAGATGAACTGCAGTTTTTAGCTTCATTTTTAAATTTTTGTTTGTTTTTTATGCTTGCCTCTAAAAGAGTAGCTTGACTTGCTGCATCTTATTACTCATGTATTTGCATCATTATAATGGCACAATCGAATCAACCACAAATAGTTTGCCAAGTCTACTTAGCTGCTGTTGCAACGCTCGACCTTTTCAAATTTTGTCTGTGGCTGTTTTGTTTGTGATTGTAGCTACTCTGACAGTTGGTTCTTCTTATTCTCTTCTTATTTGACACAACAGCAAAGGTGATGTAGATAAAGTCAGCATCCTCAAAAGTAAACGACCTAAGTAGAAGCTAGTAGTCCCATCAAAAGAGCATTTATTTTATTTTATTGTAAGATAATAGTATTAAGTCAAACAATATGGGAATGAAGAAACTGTAGTTCCTGTCCAGTTATGGCAAGCTCCAACACTGATGTTAAAATGGTTGATTTTAAAGCAGAAATAATATGTTTATAGCCAGGTATAAAAAAACGAAATAAAACAAACAATATTTATACTGTAGGCAGTTATACGGTACCAAGTGCCTGCTAGGTCTTCCCAAATGGTTAGCTGATGACCTAGCATGCTAGTAGGGCTGTTCGATATAACGATATATATCGGGTGACGATATAAAAACGTCTATCGTTTCATTTTACGCTATCGTTTGTTTCGTGGTGTCGCAAAATAAACTGTTTACGGTAATATTTTTTCATCGTTTTGATGGTCACTGTAGTGGCTATATTCATTTCTTAAAGTTCTCTTTTTCTCTTATATTTAATATAACCACACTACGGACAGACAAGCGCCTGTTTTTATGCGTTGTGGTTAGCAACAACAACGGTAACACCATCGCGTGTCCACTTGTTTATGTTTCACGTAAACCTTTCACAATAAAGCTCAAGATCCTGTTGAGACTTTTCAAAATAAACTGAATCACGTGAAAGAGCAGATTATTTACGGATGAGAAGTAAAAAAGAGCCGCCAGGTGCTAAAAAATAAACCTTAGACTCAAACGTTAGAACAGGCTTTTCCCCGCAGCCCCTGTGTAATAAATACTCACAAAGAAAACGGCGGCTGTTACAACTTATGTCTAAAATTGTATAGTTTCATGCATCTGTTAAAACACTCTATTCCAGCTACATGACGCGCAGCTGGAAACACTTCCCGCAAGTCGAGCTGCCCGAGATTCACAGAATTTACAGAAATCACATTTTTGTGATTTATATCGTTATCGGACGATAGATGTCTTATATTGGGATATGAGATTTTGTTCATATTGCATAGCCCTACATGCTAAGCCCTTTTCCAAATATAAAAAAAAAGCTAGAGTCAAGAAACCAAACTTCAAACTTTAAAACAGTCGTCCACAAACCAGTAGTTGATGTCATGCTGGCTAGGTCCATCTTTTATCTGCAGTCTATAATTTAGAACCATATCCCTGTTTGGCTGCTTCGCTTTCAATAGTTGGTTAAATAGGTGAGAAACTAGATTTATTCTTCACTCTTTTCCATTTTTAAAATCACAAAATATTGCATTTTAGGTACAAGTGATTATATTTTGGTAAAAGAAGAACTCTGATTAAGCAAAATACAACATAGAAATTGAGTTTCCAAAAGACGCATGAAAGCAGTTTGATGCCCTTACATCATGGCTCTGGTGCATAAGGAAAAAGTTGGTTCTTCTCAAATGTTCCAGTGGTTTTAAGGCTTCATTTACAGGACATTTTGGCAGTTCTTCAGGTTTTAGCCCATTAACTTCAAATCATGTGTACTTTAACATTAGGGCTGAACATTTTCCGAAGCATCACATATGATTTTAGACTGGTTTCCCGCTAGCAGCTGGTTTCAGTTCATTTCACAATGGCAATTAACATCCACTTGGAAAAAAAAGGCTCAAGTACTTGAGGAGAGGTCATCATGCATGGTAATTTAGACTGTTCTGAATGCCCCCAATTGGTATTACATAATATGTTCTTAGTGCTTTGGCGGTGAATATAAACAGAATTGTTGCCAAATTCAAAATTTTACTTCAGCAAAGTTCTTGTCCTGCTTCCTGTGTTTAGACAAGATTTTAATATTATGAGAAATATGGCTTCAGTTTTCAAATTAAATAGGATTATGTAGAAAAACACTGAACACTGATATCCAGCCAGTCTGGATGGGTCATCCACCGACCACATTTATATTTTTCTTCCGTGTTTACAGCTTTTTAATGTCAGGCGTCAGAGCTGTTAAACACACAAAATAGTAGCGTTTCCAGTTTTCTTGAAAGGAAATCAATAAAGAAAAATCCTTTGATCAAGTCAAAGTATTTGGATGGGGATTTTAGATGCACTCAAATCCTGGTAAAATGAAATATTTCAGCCGTGCCCCGAGAGGTGGACTGTGTTGTTAAATCTGTGCTTACTGTGGTGCTCATGCACAACAAACCCGAACATGAGCAGCTATCACTATTTCTAAATCAAATGAGAGTTTGACATTAAATTTTAAGCTCATTTGATTTAACTGCAGCACTTTTTCAAATTTTATTACTATACCCATGTGACACAGATCTCAACTTCCTACAACTTTGAGCTGGCTGACACACAGAAACTCACTGTCATCAACTACCGCACAGGCATTTGTACAGACATGTTCAAGTAATTACATGTGGCACCATTTCTTTTTAGAGACCTGCTTACCATTAATGACAGGAGTGAAGATAGCCATACCCTCGAAGTTGGGATCACTCACTGTCTTGTCCAGTATAAGGCCTCCAAAGCTGGACAGCACAAACACAAAGGCAATCACAACACAGCAATACAACCTATGTACTCATATGCTGTACATACAGCGTGATGCATAATTTCTTAGTTTTGGTCCATATTTGTCACACTTACAGATTTCACATCATCAAACCAATGTTATTAGACCAACGTAACCCCAGTCAACACAGATGCTGTTTTTAAATGAAAAGCTCTCCAAACCCACCTGCCCTACAGACAAAAGTAACAGCCACTAATTCTAATAAGCATCTGTGCCACCATTGGCGGTGAGAACTACAATGAAGCATTTGTGATAACTGGCAGTGACTCGTTCCCATCGTTGTGGAGGAATTTTGGCTCTCTCTTCTTTTGCTTTTAGGATTTGTGTCACTAGACCACTCCAAAACCTTCATTTTGTCCTTTTAAGCCATTCCAAAGTGGAGTTGCTGGTGTGTTTTAGATCATTGTCCTGCTGTATAATTTGAGTGCCCTTGAGCTTCAGGGCACAAACTGATGGCCAGACATTCTTCTTCGGGATTTTCTGGTAGAGAGCAGAATTCATGGTTCCATCATGGGATTGCTTTGCTGCTTCAGTCATCCGAATCCTGAAGCAGCAAAGCAATCCCAGACCGTCACACTACACTTGGTATACCGTTCTTTTTAATTAAATGCTTTGTTAGTTTTATGCCAATCGTAACGGGACTCAAACTTTCCAAAAAGTATATTTTTCCAAAAGTCTCAGCGATCATCAAGATGGTTTATGGCAAATGTGAGATGAGCCTTTGTGCTCATGTTTGTCAGCAGTGGTTTTCTCCCTGGAACTTTTTTTCAAGCGTCTTTTTTATTGTTGAGTCATGAATTCTGACCTAAACTGAGACCAGCGGTTCTTTAATTATTGTTCCGGGTTATTTTGTGATCTCCGTGATGAGACGTTGATCTATTGCACTAGCTTTGGTAGGTCAGCCACTCCTGTGAAAGTTCACCACTGGTCCAAGTGTCCTCCATTTGTGGACAATGGCTCTCACAGTCACCTTCATTCTGTCAAAGTCCCAAAGTCTTAGAAATGGCTTTGTAACCCTTTCCAGACTGCCACTGGATATATGTCATTGATTTTGTTGCTCAGCTGTTTCTTTAGATCAGGACAAGATGTGTTGCTTGTTGAGGTCTTGCAGCTTCTTCACTCCACTTCTGGGAAGATTGGCAGTTAAGTGATGGACATCAAATTGCTGTGGAAATGACCTTATAGTATTTCCCAGATTGATGGGCAGCAACAATAGCTCCTCTCAGATGATTGTTAATGTCTTTCCACTTTGACACATGAATGATCCAGATCTCTATAAAGTTGCTCACACTTTATAGGGCTAAGCAGCAGCCTGTTAATTCTTATAGGAGAAGTAAGAGTAGACTTCATACGTCATAAAAAATACTTTTTAATAGGCCTGTATATGTGCAAGAGCCATAAACACACAAAAAACAAATCTATTCACATATAAAGTGCTGTTTATTATTATTCTAGATTAAGTGTTTGAGTGTCTACCTGCTAATGGACATGGCCACTATTACGGGCTGCCATCCTGAACGGAGAACCTCTCTGATCTGAGGGCTTTGTCGGGCCACCAACACCCAGACCGGGATGAGACAGAGAAAGACCAGACACACCATAGGTGACAGGTACCATATGTCTAAAAAAAGAGAGACAGAGAGACAAAGACATTATACTGAAGGTCTCCAAAGAAAGAAAGAAAAAAAAGGAGACAAATCCAGTCAGTTATGGGCATGTCTGCATGGGTATGAAAAATGTTATTCAACACAACATTAAAGGCTTTACAGTTTTATCCTACATATACAGTAAGTCTGTGATGTAAATGATACTGGCATTTTATTCCCCCTGTACACATACATGACAATCCTCTCAATTTTTCCGGGAGAATCCCGAATTTCAATGCTCCTCCCGAAAATCTCCTTGAGCGACCACTCTCTCGAATTTCTCCTGATTTTCCACCCGGACAACAGAATTGAAAAACCATATCCCAGAATTCATAGCGCGGCCCAGCCAATTCCAGTTTCCAACAATGGCGGCAGCTACTTAGAGTAATAAGAGTAATATTTAAAACTTTCTGGGTCACAATATAAACTTTTAGCATATTTCCAGGCGAGAATGTAGCTGTGTAAACTTTAAATATCTGAACCGATGAGAACAGCGAACTCCCAGCACATCGTTTTCAAGCCCCCGCGGTCTTTCGCTACTCAGGTTAAACATGATATATAACTCACTTAGATAACCTAAAAATTTTATTGTTTGACTTATTTCAGTGTTTTTATTTGTTCCTGAGTAAATCGGTTTGGCTGAGATTAAAGTTATTAGATTAGAATAGATTAAATAAAACTTTATTAAACCCTTGGAAGGGTTTTCACACATATGTACATTTACATCACATATGCCAAATAACTAGATGCAGAGGAACACATCTATAATCACCCTTTTTTTGTGTATCAAAATGTCTCAGGGTGTCATTTTGATACACAGTGCACACACACTACAGTGTGTGTTGTGTATACACAGTGCATTCTCACAGTGTGTGTGGAAAAATCTGCCTTTTGCTGCCATCTTCTGGCAGAAAAAAGTCAGTTAAATCTTTCCTTCCAAATTTCAAGGGCATCAAAATACCCTGTATCACTTGTTTTTCACTTGTCACTGGCAGCCACCAGTGCTACCCCTCAGCCTCCCAGCCGAGGGCATCTATGGTATAAATTTGAAAACCTAGGCGATTTCCTTCTTCAGTTATTACACTCACAAGACTATCAGAAAAACTGACCTCTGACCTTGTCCAAGATTTCACCTCATCTAAGATTTTTAGTAGCAGCACCAATGGGATGAATTTAAAAAGCCTGTGTTGCCTCGTTTGAAGCACCGTGCTACGCAGCTCCGGGGCCACAACCGTTATCTCAAACAATAAACTGTGTTAAGGCCGTGGCTTGTAACACAACACCCATTTACTTTCTGAGATATGTCATTTATTAACAAAAAAAGAAAAAAAAAGAAAACATGCAACCAAAACAGATCAAGCACAAAGGCTGGGTCATGAAGGAGAACAAGTGGGTAGAGCTAAGGAGGCGAACAGCCACAAACCAAATTCACAGATCACCAGAGGGCGACACCTAGGACATCACATCCAAACAAACACACACAGACATTAACAATAGCAGTGCTAGTGATCTGTAATATTAGAAACTACTTATAATAAAATTTTATTATTATTATTTAATTTTTTTGTAAATTCTGGATGCTGATCTGGACATACTCCAAAGGTCAATTCTAAGCTGTGTGAAAAATGAAATTTTTAATCCAGCCATAGGTTTGTGAATATAAGGAAAAATAGAACTGAACTAATCATGTGACCTCTTACGCACAGTTAAAAGTAAAAAAAAAAGCCAGGAACTTTAGTGAAACCCAGTGAGCTTGAGATCATATAGTTGCTACTGACATCTCGGCTTTTTCCTCACCTTTATACTCATAGAGCGCGCTGCTGACCCCAGCCAGCAGGGACAGGGTGATCAAATCCCCCAGACTCGCAGCAATGGGAGTGGCCACATTGTCAGGGTTGATTCCCACTTTCCTCGAGCCGATGATCACTCCAATCATCACCAGGCCTGCACAACAGAGTGTGAAGGGACAGAAACACAAAAGACGTGAGACGCTTACACTTTCAATCAACATACGGGGAAAACACAACTGTAGAAAGAAAGAGCCAATTCAGCTTCTTTCATCATGTTTGTGAGACAACAGAATGCTGACGGAAGCTTTTAGCTGGAATTTGTTCGTTTTTCTATATCAACAAAGACAACTGTCAACACGCCAACCTGTCTCACAGAGTGATAGCTGGCCTGGAAAGAGAAAAGAAAAACAAAAGGGTATGAGTAAAAAAACGAATTACAGAGAAACTGAAATGACAGTGTAGAGAGAGACAGTGACGAGGTTTCCCCTGCAGAGCAGAAAATGAAACAAGGACAGTTTTGTTCCTTCACGCATCAGTCCTGCTTAACACCAGAACACTTAAGGTGAGCATGAATTATGGATTATTCGGGGAGTGCATGCTGAGACGGGTAATATAAGGACAGGCGCACAGATGAAAGCTGTTTGATTGAAATTTGTTTCACAACAATGAGAAGCCACCCTAAAACACTGTCAGAATAATAACATTAGCTTGTATAACTGTCAAACTGTTACGTATTGTTTGTTATAGTTACAACGAATCACATTCACACCTAGCAGCTTAAATTAAGACCTTAAAAACGGTAGCATCTGCATGGGTGTGTGTCGTTCTGTCTGTCAACATGACAGCTTGAAAAGTTTTTTGTGAATTCTGAGAAAACCTTGTGGGAGTGTGGAGTGGGGTCATGTTAACAACCTATTAAATCCACCGAGGTCTTCAAAGTCAACTTTATTTATTGGTTGAAAATTGGCAAAAAGCCTTATAACACAGAAACTATGATTATTACACGTGTGGTGTATATTGCCCACATATAGAAAGTCCTGTATAAAGATTAAAATATCATGACACATTTGACCTCTGACCTCAAGTTCAACAGATTGATCTGAAGGTCAAAGTGATAATAAAGTTATATAGAGCTATTTAGAACTATGTATCTTATATCCAATCAGAAAGTTCCTCTGTCAGGAGGTACTGATGGTGCCTTTTTTATGTGTCTAGTTTGACTATCATAACATCATGAAGAATGTGAGTACAGCTGGTACTCTGGAGTGAATGCTTCATCTGGTTCTTCTATAGTTACAGCTTCCGATTTGACCCCTGACCCCTAAACGAAACTGTATGCTTGGGTGACTATATGCTAGAATAACTGACTGTTATTCGAATTTCCAAATAAAGAACATCCCCGCAGCTTACTTACCTAAAGACAGAGCAGCTACAAAGGCGGTGGTGATACTGCTGGCACACAGGACAGCTGCTTGTTCCAGTTCAATGCCTCCTCTGGAAATCGCCCCTAAACAAATTGCTGCCACTGCGGCGAGGAATCCTACCACTGTGGCCTGGACCTGCCGAAACAGGACAGAGCACAGCAGCGTCAGGCCCCGGCTACAGTAGGATAGTGAATTTAACATTCAGAACAGTGACGGACAGATGTAGGAAGCAGCAATTTTTATGAGTGAATATTTTTTGGCACATTTTTCTCCGAAAAATGGCTTCAGGAATCGTTTAGCCTAAAAAACTGAAGTGGAGTGAGTTTGTACGTAAACACAATGCAGAGAGCAAACTGAAGACAGGAGTCCTGAACTGCTGAACAGTGACAGTCCAGCCCATTATTTACTCTTTTCATATTTTGGGTGTAAATTTCTCCCCGGCATACCTTACCTGAATAAGTGCCAGATTGCTGCACACCATGGTCCATTGTTTATCAGGGTCATCCATTTGGCCTGTGTTAGCCTGCAAACATGGAGTCATGATTCATATGTTGAGGCAAAGGCTCTCACTCAAATAACACAGGTCTGAAAGAAGAAAGTTTTTTGTTAAGACAGATAAATGGGTCTTTGTTAGTCTTTATTTATATATATATATATTTATATATACACACACACACACACACACACACATATACATATATACACACACACATATACATATACATATATATATATATATATACACATATATATATAGCCTGTTCTAACGTTTGGGTTTGTGGTTTATTGTTAGCACCTGACAACTTTTTGCTTCTTATTCATAAACTCTCTCCATACTCTTTCACATGATACTTGCGTTGATGGCAGAAGAGGCTTGTAGTTTTTGGTGACTGGCAGAGACCAATTTGCGGCATAATTTCATAGGCAATGAAAAATATCTTGCAGTAAACAGTGTGTTTTGCAACAGCATGACATAAATGATAGAGTATAATATGAAAAGGTAGATGTTTTAATATCCAATGTATCCATCGTAGCCCTATTGGTAAGTGTGTGTTTCTAAAGCAGGGGTGTCCAACTCCAGGCCTCAAGGGCCGCTGTCCTGCAGGTTTTCATTTTATTTCATTTCATTTATTTATTTATTTCACACTTGGTAAAACAGATCAAACAAACCAACCACGCTTTCTATCAACAAAGCACTACAACCATGTGTGAAAAGGAGCAGGAAGAAGAAAATATTCTTATTAAACCCTGCCAGGCCTCATTACCAGGCCTCTCGTGAACTTCAAGACATGTTGAGGAGGTAATTTAGCCATTTAAATCAGCTGTGTTGGGTCAAAGACACATCTAAAACCTGCAGGACACCGGCTGTTGAGGCCTGGAGTTGGACACCCCAGTTCTAAAGCCTCTCCACCAGAGGCCTGGGAGTTTGAGGGTCCTGTGCAGTGTCTCGTTGTTCCTAGGACTGCACTATTCTAGACAGAAACCTCTGAGTTGTGCAAAGAATCTGATGGAAGCACTCTTCCAGTTTGGGGGGTTACAGCTCCTAATGCTCCTATTACCACTGGGACCACTTTCGACTTTACCCTCTACGTCTGCCCCAGTAACTCCTTCAGCCCCTCTACTCCTCTATTGTTGCTGTGTGCTGGGATTGCCACATCTATCACAACTGCCGTCTTCTGCTGCTTGTCAAGCATCACTATATCCATCTCGTTCGCCAGGAGCTGCTGGTCCATCCAGAACTCAAAAGTCCAACATGACCTTACTCATATTGTTCTCAACCACTTTTGGTGGTGTCTCCCATCAGGAGTTGGGGACTTTTATTTCATTTATGGTACAATTATTTCTGTACACTGTCCCAATCACTACACTACAATTGGCTACAACCTTCTATTGTGTGTTGGATGTCTCTGGGTCCACATTGCACAATCTGGAACTTGGGTCCAGCTGTGTGTGTGACTCCTGCCTCAATGGATCTGGTCCTTAGGACTTGTTCTGTGCTGTCCTTTAAGATAGCCTTTTCTAGCCATTGATAGGACTTTTTAATGTTAGCCATGGTGCATCCTAGGCAGGGTCATTCATGATGGTTCCTCCTCCTTTACCTCACCAACTTCTGTCTTTAGCTGCTTGAAGCTTTCTTTTAGCAGCTCATCTAACATGTTCTGGATTATGGCTCTGACTCTCTCTCTCATCGTTGTTCGTAAAGCCTTAGGGCGCTGGACTTTGGGTGGAAACATCTATAAGTTATAAGGATTCTTTGTTTGGATTTGGCATCTACTTCCTCCTGTGGCTAGCTCATTAGTGTGACTGCTGATTAAGCATTCACAGTACTGAGATCCGAATCTTTCTTTAAACACAATTCAACACCATTACCACACGCACACACACACACACAGCAGATATTCTGCAAATATTCTAGTTTTTCATTTGCGGTTCTTCAGTTGAGACATTTAAAATTAGTCTTTTTTTTTTCAAGGGATTTAAAGAATATGAGCTTTCAATATCCATTCAGATTTTTTCAACCTCTTTTTCTAATGTACATTTAAAAGCTATTCAGCTACTTTCCAACCTTGAAACTTCTTCTGTGTGAACAGCTTTCAGCAGTTCTGCACTTTGGCTTTCGGGTGAATGATTATGTGTATTTCCGCTCATTCAACAGTTTTTTCACCAAAGATTCAGCAATCATAAAAATTCACCTCAAATCACTCAACTGTCAGCATTCACACTGCACTAACATTTCTATGCTTCACTTTATTAGTACCATTTGCTGGCACAGAAGTCTCACAGAAGTTTAGGGGAGAAGCTACATGGTTCCAAAGGCACCATTCACAACATATTTTGATAATAAATGTTCTGCTCATCTTCTGAAGCTTACACCACTACCTAAATCTCAGAAATGCTCATTTATTATGATACTGAGGTGAATCATATACAGTGGCTTGCAAAAGTATTCGGCCCCCTTGAACTTTCCCACATTTTGTCACATTACAGCCACAAACATGAATCAATTTTATTGGAATTCCACGTGAAAGACCAACACAAAGTGGTGTACACGTGAGAAGTGGAACGAAAATCATACATGATTCCAAACATTTTTTACAAATAAATAACTGCAAAGTGGGGTGTGCGTAATTATTCAGCCCCCTGAGTCAATACTTTGTAGAACCACCTTTTGCTGCAATTACAGCTGCCAGTCTTTTAGGGTTTGTCTCTACCAGCTTTGCACATCTAGAGACTGAAATCCTTGCCCATTCTTCTTTGCAAAACAGCTCCAGCTCAGTCAGATTAGATGGACAGCGTTTGTGAACAGCAGTTGTCAGATCTTGCCACAGATTCTCGATTGGATTTAGACACCAGACAGGTCAGGGATAAAGTTATTGAGAAATTTAAAGCAGGCTTAGGCTACAAGATTTCCCAAGCCTTGAACATCCCACGGAGCACATCAGAAATGGAAGGAGTATGGCACAACTGTAAACCTACCAAGACAAGGCCGTCCACCTAAACTCACAGGCCGAACAAGGAGAGCGCTGATCAGAAATGCAGCCAAGAGGCCCATGGTGACTCTGGACGAGCTGCAGAGATCTACAGCTCAGGTGGGGGAATCTGTCCATAGGACAACTATTAGTCGTGCACTGCACAAAGTTGGCCTTTATGGAAGAGTGGCAAGAAGAAAGCCATTGTTAACAGAAAACCATAAGAAGTCCCGTTTGCAGTTTGCCACAAGCCATGTGGGGGACACAGCAAACATGTGGAAGAAGGTGCTCTGGTCAGATGAGACCAAAATGGAACTTTTTGGCCAAAATGCAAAACGCTATGTGTGGCAGAAAACTAACACTGCACATCACTCTGAACACACCATCCCCACTGTCAAATATGGTGGTGGCAGCATCATGCTCTGGGGGTGCTTCTCTTCAGCAGGGACAGGGAAGCTGGTCAGAGTTGATGGGAAGATGGATGGAGCCAAATACAGGGCAATCTTGGAAGAAAACCTCTTGGAGTCTGCAAAAGACTTGAGACTGGGGCGGAGGTTCACCTTCCAGCAGGACAACGACCCTAAACATAAAGCCAGGGCAACAATGGAATGGTTTAAAACAAAACATATCCATGTGTTAGAATGGCCCAGTCAAAGTCCAGATCTAAATCCAATCGAGAATCTGTGGCAAGATCTGAAAACTGCTGTTCACAAACGCTGTCCATCTAATCTGACTGAGCTGGAGCTGTTTTGCAAAGAAGAATGGGCAAGGATTTCAGTCTCTAGATGTGCAAAGCTGGTAGAGACAGACCCTAAAAGACTGGCAGCTGTAATTGCAGCAAAAGGTGGTTCTACAAAGTATTGACTCAGGGGGCTGAATAATTACGCACACCCTACTTTGCAGTTATTTATTTGTAAAAAATATTCGGAATCATGTATGATTTTCATTCCACTTCTCATGTGTACACCACTTTGTGTTGGCCTTTCACGTGGAATTCCAATAAAATTGATTCATGTTTGTGGGTGTAATGTGACAAAATGTGGGAAAGTTCAAGGGGGCCGAATACTTTTGCAAGCCACTGTAGATGTTATAGAGGCATTGTATTTCTGAGGAGCTACTCTGAGCTAGAGGATGAGGGGATTATGAGGTTAAATGTTCAATTCGATTTATGCTCATACCACAGATAACATAAGATAATTTATAACATAACCCTTAGACTTTCTTACAGCGGTAGAGAGGCGCGCAGCCAAGGTCATCTCCAGGTTTCCTTTGAGTCCAACCAGAGCTGGAACCAGGATGAAAACTTCTGTGATCACCTTAAACACCTCCCAGTGCTGGAACACACACATTGTGTAATGAGATACTGAATAAACAATTACAGAGCAGTGCAAAAAATACAAAACCAAAGCAAACATTCCTACTAATTATGCCTGACATATTCCTATTATAAAAACAACTGCACCTGATTAAACTTCTTTATGGAATTACGAAAGACAATCAGATATTCTAGACTAACCCAGTAGCCTACTTTCTGTTTCCACTCCTTTGAGCATTCGCCGCCACGCCTTACCGTGCAGCTTAACTGGGTTTAGAACACGTGCAGTTCACAGAGTCCGCCTCATGATGGTTTAGATCTTTAAATAAATGCGATTATACAAGAACACAGCTACAAAGAGCAGAATGATGTGAAGATGTGACAGCCACGTAGGGAGGGAAGGAAGGAAGAGTGGAGGGGACTGACAAAGTAGGTCAGTAAAAGTTTGATAAGACGTTTTGTTAAATAGGTGACGTAGTCAATTATAAAATATAATATAACAGGAACTAGACAAAATACATTATTTATTGCTAGCATGTTTAAAAAAACAGCTTGTTCTCAGTGAAGACTATTGTTTTATAGCAAATACATCCTTGTGTGAACTTCAAAAGATTAATTTCTGCAACAAATATAGCTCCCGTCAGAGGAGAGAAATAACCTATGCAGGTGTACAACCACCTACATGAGCTTCTTAACTAGCTGACTCAGCTGATCCTGGATGGCATGTTGAAGAAAACAGAGAAGTTATAGAATTTCTCTCTCTTGCTTTTAAACTTCAGATGTACTCGGAGCCACAGTGTGGGAACCATGAAACTATAAATCTTTAGCTCTTATATATATAGTGGGGATTGCATTCCTATAATAAACCTTGCAGAGCCTAAAGTCAACTTGAATTCAGAGTTACATGGAGCCAACAGATTCTAAATTGGCAGCAAGGAGTATGATTAAGCTTGAATGGTTGTCTCTCTGTGGTACGAGGCTTTTACAGAGGACTGGGTTCAAAGGACAGAGCACAATAAGCACAAAAAATATCCAGAAATTTATTTTAATTCTTTCTTCTCAGACGCGAAAATCCAAACCAATCAGTCCCCATCACATCTTAAATAACTTATAGTACCACAATATTCTAATACAGCACTTTTCCTCCAATTCTACTTTTAGAAACTCTGAGAACCAAAAGTAAACCTGCAGTCTGAGAGTAGAGATTTCAGCTTTCAGGCCTCGATTCTGTGGAACTAGCTCCTCGTTTGGATTCAGGAGACAGACACCTACTCTACTTTTAAGATTAGGCTTCAAACCTTCCTTTTAGAAAATGCTTATATAGCTTATATCTTTCTATTCTTTCCTTTATCCTCTTCTCTTTCTCCTCACTCCCAACAGGTAACAGCAGAGGTCTGCCCCTCCCTGAGCCTGGTTCTGCCAGAGTTTTCTTTCTGTTAAAAGGGAGTTTTTCTTTCCTGCTGTTGCCAAGTACTTGATCAAAAGGATCGTCTGAATGTTGGGGTTTCGGGATTTGTGAGTAATAACCTAGTGCCTATTAGATTTATTATTGCAGGATTTTGATATGTGTTGTCAGTATTTACAAAGAAAGCGCAGTGACAAGACTTAATATGAGAATGAATTTAACCTTTATTCGACTGACCCTGTTCTAGCAGAGCTTTTTTTTTATATTCCTCTGAATTCTGTGGCTGTCACATCAAATGTCAGAAACCCACTTCCACTGGAAGTTATGCATGTCCATCACTGCCTCTGACTTGTTTCATAAGTGATGAAGTATGTTTATGACATGCCTTCTTCACACTTTGTCATTTCAGTACAGGTCAATCTAAATATCATGCCCTTTCCATTCTTAAAGGTTATGAATCATTTCCATGATGTTCTGAACCCTACAAATGGAGCTACATATTGATGAGCAGTAATTCATTATCTCTCCTGTTTCCAACTCCTGGAACACAAATATTAATTAACCCATCAGTTACCGATTACTGTGTGCCAGTTAGCTAGCTTAGTTAACCAGAGCCAGTGGTTTGTCACATACAAGAACGACCCGAACACATTTTTAAATGTTTTTTAACCATTATGAACGTGCTAACTATTGCTCTGTTACATATTCTGCACTCTCTAGTGTTTGCAACCAATTGGATCATTTCTGCCTCCTGGCCTATTTAAACAATAGTGAACAGGTGATGAAGGTGAATGGATCCAAACAAGGGAATAAGAGAACTGAATGTCAGTCTTGTCAATGGTAGAGGAGTGTGTGTGCTGGTGTGAGTGCATCTCTATTCATACCAATTCCTCTCAGGTTCTGGATTGCTAAATCTGGCTGACGTCTGTCATACACAGAGGCTATCTTGGGACATGTCCCACTTCTGCTATAATACTGCTGCTACTGCTGCTTGACTGTGAGTGCGAGTGTGATGGGACAAAAGCCAACATAAGCCAGCTCAGTGCTACTGTAGACTTCCAGGGACTTTCTAATGTTGGTGCTGTCGCTGACTGATTCAGGTACTTCAGACACACAAAAATGATATTTTCAGAAAATTTTACACTCAAGAAGAATTCAGTATTTTATGCTCGGTCTATAATAACAGGTTTTTCCTTTACTAACAGTATCTCTGTGTAACAAATACACTTCTTTTAGCCAATTACAAGCCAGGTCTCAAGCCAAATATTTGCTGGGGATTTGTAATGTGTTAAGTTTGCTTCATTACATTAAAAGTCTGGTTGCTCATGTTTTGTTATTAATGTTGTACTCTATAGTTTTTCTGGTCCCCTCACCACTGTGACCATTAATGACAAACTGGGTTATAGTCTTTAAAAACAATAGTGACATTTTAAAAAGTACAGTCTGTATTTTTAAAGAGCCGCAGTGACAAAAAGGAGGAAGCTCAGGTGTGTGTTTTTTTGTGACCGATTCTGTTGCACATGTATTTCTGGGGGTATTATTATGAACTATCTGCAGTGTTGGGGAGTAATGGAATACATGTACCGGCGTTACGTATTTAAAATACAAAATATGAGTAACTGTATTCCATTACAGTTACTGTTTAAAAAGGTGGTATTCAGATTACAGTTACTTTGTAATCTGATGTATCTAATCTTATTATAAAATCTAAATCATCCACCAGTCACCTTGACCCTCTTCCCACTGTGTTAGTTAAAGCCTGTCTTCCCTCGTTAGCTCCTCTCATAACCAGTATTATCCATTCCTTCCTGAACACTGGAATCGTTCCTGAATCACTGAAAAAGGCTTCTGTTATTCCAACTCTCAAAAAGCCTGGTGCAGACCCCAATAACTTTGATAGTCTTCGCCCTATATCAAATCTCCCCTTTATTTCAAAAATTCTTGAAAAAGTTGTCGCCTTTCAGCTTCACTTACACCTCAATAACCATAATCTCTATGAACAATTTCAATCTGGTTTACGCCCCAATCATTTCACAGAAACAGCTTTGTTAAGGATTACTAATGACCTTCTGATGGCGGCTGATTCTGGTCTCCTATCCATCCTCATCCTTCTTGATCTTAGTGCGGTGTTTGATACCATTTCTCACAATATTCTCCTGAACCGGTTAGCATCCATTGGCATTAGTCATACCCCCCTTGCCTAGTTCACCTCCTATCTCTCAGACCGCACTCAGTTTATCCAATTTAAATCCCATTCTTCAAGTCTCCATCCTGTTTCTGCTGGTGTGCCCCAGGGTTCAGTATTAGGGCCCCTTTTATTCATTATTTACATGCTCCATCTTGGTCATATATTCCGAAAATATAATATAAATTTTCACTGTTATGCCGATGACACCCAGCTCTACATTTCTTCTAACCCCAATTCATCCCTCCCACCTCCCTCCCTCTCAAACTGTCTTATCGAGATTAGATCCTGGTTCTCCTCCAATTTTCTTAAACTAAGTAATAAAACTGAAGTTTTACTCATTGGCACAGCCTCTATCTTAACCAAATCCCAAGTTTTTCCATTAACATTGAACGTTCCCCCACCCTTCCCTTCCCTCAGGTTAAGAGTTTGGGTGTCATACTTGATAATACTCTCTCATTCCAGTCCCACATTAATTACATAACCCGGTCTGCATACTTCCACTTACGTAATATTAACCAACTCCGCCCCTTCCTTATTTCCCATGCTGCTGCCATCCTTGTCCATAGTCTTATTACGTCCCGCATTGATTACTGCAATTCCCTCTTATTTGGTCTCCCTAAAAGGTCCCTTCACAAACTCCAACTTCTTCAAAATTCTGCAGCTCGTGTCATAACTCGAACTCCGTCAAGAGCTCATATTACCCCAGTTCTTCAGCAGCTTCACTGGTTGCCCATAGAAGCCAGGATAAACTTTAAAATCGTACTTCTCACGTACAAGTATATCCATAAATCTGCTCCTTCCTATTTGTGTGACCTGCTCCATATCACCAGTGTTTCCCGCCCTCTCCGATCCTCATCTGCTATTCATCTTACTGTTCCGTCCGCACGTCTTACCACTATGGGGAACAGAGCCTTCAGTCGCTCTGCTCCTCGGCTCTGGAACTCTCTTCCTCCAGCCATAAGAAATATGGACTCTCTTCCCGCATTTAAGTCACAGCTCAAAACACATCTGTTCAAACTGGCTTATTCGCTTTGGTGCTGATTTTACCTGTTGTCAAGTTCTGCTTTGCAATTTTAACTTATTTTATGACTATTGCTTCTTTTATTAATGTTGTTCTTTTGTAAGGTGACCTTGGGTTTTTGAAAGGCGCCCTCAAATAAAATGTATTATTATTATTATTATTATTTGTTGAAATGAATGGATTACACGGCGGTCTTTTCCTGTTTCATATGTTAGACTATGCTCTTTCTATTTTTGGTAATTCCACGCCGGTGGAAACCCAAACAAAACACCAATTAAGAGGTTCTAATGCCTGTGTGTCAATCTCATGGCCCATGTCACCCCTACTTGCAGCCCGCATAATGACGTGAAGGAATATTTAAAAAATATTATTAAAAAAATATTTAATATGAAGGCAATAGGGAGAGTGTTACAGGCATCGCCCTAAAGAATGTAGCCTCATGGGCAGTGTAGTCCGTGCTGCAGGGAGAATGGACTGCCATACCAGTTATGTGTCTGGATCAGGTGACCCTGAACCATTCTTTATTTATGCTGCAAAATGCTGGTGATGCAAAGTTGGTACGTTCCAAGTCTGAACAAAGAATGACTGAGGGGAATTTCCATAACAGTACAGAATACCAGGGATGGACATATGACAGGGCAGTGAATACACTGGAGGGTTACCTAGGTAACCAGAACTACTACCCATCAGCTTCAAAGCAATGCATGAGGAACACTTCAACTGTGACAAGGTTTTTTACTTTTAAGGAGCTTGGAAAGAAAAGTGACTGGCCTTCTTTAAGTTTCTTGAAGATGTTTCACCTCTCATCATTAAATTACTATGACCTGGATGACATAAGCCCTTTACTTTTGTTTTTACCTTTTTAAGTAAAGAACTTGGTGACAATTTCAAGGGTGATGCAGTGTATATACAAAGTCATCTCCCTCTCTGGCCTTCTTTTTCTCTCTCTCATCTCCAAACCACTTATTGAATTAACTGTTCAATGCAATCCCAAGGCTCTCGTCTCTCTCTCTGGTCTAAATCTGATTTAGAAAGCTCAGAAAGGTGGATGTAACACAAGACTCCATCTGTTAATCAGAAAAAAGCACTGTCAACGGTGAACCGGCAGAGCTGTGCACACATGTGCAATCACAACACACGCATTTCTTGTTTAACCAGTTCAGGGTTTTTCTTTTAAGGCTCTCAACAACACGGACTGAGTTCAGAAAGCAGGTCAAGTCACAAAAAAGGTAGCTGAGACAAATATCTTATATTTAACTAAGGCCAGCATTAGTCTGAACTAATTCAAGCTTGTGAATATCTGAGGGGCAGGAAAACAAAAAGGTCTTTTTCTCCGACTAGACCGTTTATCTATTCTTCATAGCAACAGCTGTCAATATGTGTCTGTACTCGGTATGCAAATACCCACTCACCTTTCCACAACATCCCACAATCAGAATCTATAAGTGAGGTCAGTCCATTTCTCCCAAACATCCATTAACAGGACTGGGTCTCAAATTTCACTGCTTGTTTTTCAGCACTGGGAATCAAAATTAGTGAAGTAGGGAGCTTGCTCAAATATTCTTTGATCTCTTTGATATTCAAAAGTTATTCCACCTACTCCAATACAACACCACTTTCATGTTAACCTACGAAAGATCACCTCTTTATAGAAAGAGGGAATTATGACGTGAAGGTGGTGCCCTTGAGCAACAATCATGACACGATAATCAAAATACTTCCGATGGTACCCAACTCTACACATCTATTCACATTATTCTTGGATAATTACTTGTATAAGGTCCATAACGATACCCGCGGAGACCATTCCAAGTCCTGATATGAGGTATGGTACGATAACCTGCGCCCCAATGAGCCAAGAGCTCTCTGGTAGGAAACCATGTTCTGATCGAGTCAGCTTCCAGGTCACGCCACGTAACTTCTTGCCTTGGTAGCGTAGCTCCAACTCCAGACGAGTCACAACCATGTTGCACAGGGGATTAATCAAAGCACTTAGTTTAATGTTTAGTTATCCCATGGTAAGTGTAACTTCATTCCAAAGGAAAAAAAAAAAACTCTGATTAAAAATAAAAAAGGTCTGAGGGGTCAAAATAAAGTAAGGAAGTGAAATACCAAAGATGAAAATAATCAATGAGTTTGTCCTTGGTTTAAAACAGGGGAAATGCTTCAAGCAGTTCCTAAGGCTCTTCCTGAAGAAATGAGAGGCAGCATTTGGGAGCATATATATGTTCTGCTCTCAAGGGATGACCCAAAGATGACAGCTACTTCTTGCATCATTCTTGGCAGTACACAAGATAAACATTCAGCATCCCTTTGAACCAAACTGGAGATCCGATATCTATTCAAGCAAGCGAGACATTCGTCATGTTTTCATTCCTTCCAATCAATGATGTTTTCCCAGGCAGAATCACGTTTAAAAGCTTTAACTCCAACTTGAGGGAGCTGGAGCATGGCATCTTTGGACCAATGGTGAGTCAGCAGTGATGAGGTATCCATTTGCCGGCACCTCTGGGGAAAAACAATCATTAACACGATTTCTGATTCATCAGTCAAAATGTTCCACAAGCACAGATGATCCACATCTGCAGTCAAAGTCTTAAGTTTACCCGGCAACCTGCAAAAACTAACATTAAAAATAAGACTGGTTTATGCCAGTAAATTAATGCTGAGCTATTCAGTGGTCCTCCAGTTGTCCTGAACAACTCTAGAATCAAATAAATCCTCTGGTTGAGTTTCTTGTTTGTTGGAGTCCTCAGTTGATAAGATCGAGCTTTAAATCTACTTGACCTCCAGTGTAAAAGGCACACCTGTATCTTGTGAACCCAGAGCTCGGAGTGACAGCTGAATGAGTGACAGGAGCAAAAAGATGAAGAACAGTCCAAAAGGTCTTGAGAGTTTAGAAGCAGGAGGAAGACTTTATATCTTTGATATACGAGCCTAATCTCTTATTTGGCGAGGTGAGCTCTGTGATGTCAATAGGAGATTCACAGATGAGATGCAGCACACAGTACCACTTGAGCAGACTAAAGTGTTCCTCTCCTCCTTTCAGCATCAGGGTAGTCCTGCTCACTCAGCTCTGCTGTGACGTAGCACAGAAAGAGGCAGGGCTGTCTGCCCTGTGCAAACTCACGAGAGAAACGACCGGCTTTCTGCCACGCACTCTCCCTCTAAGCTATTTTTTGCTGCGTGTCTGCCTCTTATCCTCCCTCCCTCCCTCCCGCGTATGGCATCCATCGTTCTACGTCGAACAGTCTTGCTGCATTTCACATCCCTCTTTCAGTCGTTTCCATATCTCTGTATCGTGACTCATTCTTTCCCTCCATCTTTTCCTTCCACTTTTACCTCTGTTCTAGCTGCTATAATCATTTTGGAACACCGTATTTAAGAGCAAACAAACATACTGTACAACTACTGATTTCCAGGCATCTTTCAGGTCTTAAACTAAAAATCATTCCTCTCAATGCATACTGTTCACAAAAAAAGAAAAGAAAATGTTTTCATACACAAAATATTAATTAATGACATGTAAAAAAATCTTTACATGTAAAATCTATAAAGTGCCACATTAACAATAAGATTACATCATTTGAATACAAGAAATAAGGTTTTGGATTGGCTAAATAGAATTAAATAAATTGCAGTCGCTATAGTCTCAGATCACTTCGACATTGTGTAATAACACTGATGTGTTTCTTCTGGAAACTGCTGAGGTTGATTTGACAAGCAAGGCAACTGATTAGCAGCAACAATGTAAAAAGCTTATAATTCTTCTTACAGGATGTACACTACTTTGCAAAAGTCTTGAGCCCCATTTCTTTATATTTTGCTTCCAAGGAGCCAAACACTTATTTTTTAAGGTCGTCTTAAGCAATAGTTCTCCAGGCTTTGTGAAGGTCTTTCAAAGTTTTCCTTCAGACATTGGCTGCAGTTTCATTTATTTTCGGTCCAGCCCTTTTTCAGAGGACCATTTTCAAGGCACTTTTTTGTTATTTGTTATTATTGAACTGCTTACCAATGAATAAACCAGCGTTGTATCTACACATAAGACAACCTAGAGACTGAACCAATTTTAAATTGTATCTTTAGTCACTTTGTTCCTAGCAGCCTTTTACAGAAACTCATCAACTGTTCTCATTTCTTTAGCCAAATCTGTGAAAAATCCCACAGATAATGCAGTCTGATAGATATAACAAAATATTTTTATTACAGCAAGGTGTTTTCCAAAGTTCTATTAGCTGAAATCTCTCAGCATGGTGTGCAGTGTGTACTTAAGAAATTTGAGGAAACTGGTCAGTTGGAGGACAAAAAGAAGTAGCAAACCTAAATTTTATTTACAGCACATGAACAACATGTGAAAATCAAGTCCTTATAAAACAGGAATCCAGCACAGGACCTGAGAGATGCTGACCCTTCAGTTGCTTCATTCACTCATCATTGAAGTCTCATAAGAAATAGTCATGGATTGGCTGATGAGAAACTCAGACAACCCCAAATCAAAGAAAATACGGCCCAGTGAAAATTAGAATTTTAAACACTAGCATTAAATACAGAATTTTTTTTATGATCTAATTTTTAAATATCTTGAAAAATAAAAATGAGTGTTTAAACACAAATGCTAAGGATACTCAGTTACTTTTGTAATGTGTATTCATTACAAATCTATCAAGATATGTTCTTTTTTTTTATGCATATCTTTATGTGAACATTTGGATTGAATTACAGTGAAAACTAAAACAGCAGTGGGATGGGTTTCAGTGTTTCAGTGAAGATAAAAGACACTTGCACTTACACAGCAGGGGACACTGGGTAAGACTTGTAATGACTGCTAATGGTAAACTCTTAGCCTAAATGCTGCTAGATATCAACACGATTGATGCATCACTGGCCCATTTGTTTGCTTCAAGTATTCAAAGAATTTATAACTATAACAGTTTCTGGGAGCCTGTCCAACTAACATTTAAGTCTCATTTAACCACCATAACTGTAATTTAAAGAAGTCAAATATTGCATGTTTGCAATAGTCTAATGTATGGACGATCTAATTTCACATTTTATGGAGCGAGCTTTTATAGAGCTCTAATTTGGAAGCCAACCAACAGAACAAAGAGAAGCTGACACAAATGGCACTGCCTCCGTCTGTCCATCCATCTATTCATCTTCTTCCGCTTATCCAGGGCCGGGTCGTGGCGGTAGACCTCCCTCTCCCTGACCACCTCCTCCAGGTTATCTGGGGCAACGTCAAGGCATTCCTACGCCAGCCAAGAGATATAATCTTTTCAATGTGTCTTGGCCCTAGGGCCTCCTCCCAGTGGGACCAGGCCAGAACACCTTACCGAGGAGGCATATAGGACGCATCCTTGTAGAAGCCCGAACCACATCAACTGGCTCCTTTCGATGTGGAGGAGCAGCGGCTCTACTCTGAGCTCCTCTCGGACGGCCGAACTCCTCACCCCATCTCTAAGAGAGAGGCCAGCCACCCTTTGGAGAACGCTCATTTCCACTGCTTGTCCCCTCATAGGTGAGAGTGGGGACGTAGATCAGCCAGACAATCGGGAGCTTCGCTTTTACGCCTCGTTCTCTCTTTACAGCGACAGACATCACTGCAGGCGCAGCACCAATCCATCTGTCAGTCACCCATTCCCCTCTCCCATCAGTTGTGAACAAGACCCCAACAAATTGCATGTTGGATGTAATTGAAAGACAGGCCAACAGGATGTGATTGTTTAGACAATAGCTACCATCACAGGCCACAGTAACAATCGTTTTTGCTGATAGTGTAGTGTTGCTGTCTTTATCGACATTTTAGATCGGCTACTCTCCACGTCCTTGTGCGTCCGCTGTGCTTTGAGACACAGCTCCCAGCCAAGCTCATGACTAATCTTCCATCTGATGCAGGAGGGAAACTGATACTGTAGACTGCAGAGTGGGAAGAAATACTGATGAGCTACAGATGGAGTAAAGGGAAGTAGCCATATGAGGACGGACGTATGCTTATCAGTGGAGGACGGAGGGGAAGAGAGAGACCAGCTCATCATAGAGCAGACAGCAGTGTGTCTGATTTCCCTCAGCTCAGATGGCTGCAGACTAAAAGCCAGGGACACCTGGCACAGGACAGACACGACTAGCTCAAACTCATTATTAAATGTACTATCTCACTATTCCCACCTTATATTCCTATACTGTATCCTACAGTATGATTCTATACCATTGTGTAGAAAACACAGCCATCAGTCAGTTATATTCTTGAGATATTTTGACCAAGGATATTACTGACATTTAATTAAGAACTGATGGGAAGGTTAAAGGTATAGTCACAAATTTTTGAGGTCATTTAATATATAAAAAAAAAAGTATCCTATAGTCTATGTACATGTACAGCAGTGTGTAACTACATTTTCAAATAAACTGCATTCTCATAAACATGTAATGAATCTATTAATAATATATAGGGGTGAGTTTGCAGTTTCTGGAAGTCATCATTTTCTTCCAACTAATGGTGTTTTACATAAATGGTAGAGACAGGCCATGTATGTAGTATGCCAAATGGGGACTAGAAGAGAACTTGTTTTATCATCTGAGAATGGACCCCCTTCATCAAAGAGATAACACCACTTGCAACTAAATAAATCTTCATCCTCTTCCTCCTCACCTCAAGATTAATCTCCTAAACAGAACTCACACTCTAAGACATGAAAACTTGCATAAACATGCTTATTTATTCCCAATACTGTTGCAGTGACATATTGCCAGTAGATCAGACATGCGACTTTCCTGTCTCTGGAGAATTGACAACGAGCCGGGTGAACAACAACAGCTGATTTTAAGGTAACATTATGCCAGCTAATGTTAGATTCAAGTGTCATAAAAATCACACTTTTCCTCTGATAAACATTTTGATTACATTCTCACATTCTACGAACGTTTATTCCCTAACTGTACGAGTCCAACAATGTTAAATCCACGTTAGATTCACTAGCACAAACTAAAACTATCTATCAGGATATCTTCAACAGCTCACCTTAGTATGGCTGTCATCAGTCAGAGGTGAGCTTTACTGACTGACTCGCCTGTATTGAACTCCTTTTACAGTTTTACAGCTACACATGGATGCTTCTCACCCAGCATTGACAGCTGAGATAAACAGAGGTCTGATTGCCTTCCACAGAAAGGAAAAATCTCGATTATAGGCATAAGCTGTTGTGTAGTCGTGGCAGTTATGATATAATGTACCCTAAAACATGATGTTAGGTTTTTGAACATAGTGGAATGTTTTGATCTCTCTTAGCTAACTAAAACATGTTTGTCCTACAGGAGCCAATGTAGCAAGGATTATGCACTTGAATTCGGAGAGGTAAGAAAACAGAACTGCAATACACTGACATCTAGCACAGAAAGATTTTATACACTGTAACTATAAAGAGGGGTACTATTAAGTTATAGTAGTCTTCTAAGTTCACTGCAAATCACATTGTGCAACGTGGATCTCATAAATTTGGGTAGGACATTATGTTTGATGCACATACAACATGTAATAATATTAGCCCACACACCGGCTGCTATCTCTTAACTATTGATCTACACTGTTACATGCTACTGAAGATGTAATAGTATCAACATATTCACCAGGGACAGCAGCAGCTATGCCCTGGGGTGCATTCAACTCACTCAAAAGGCCATTTTGCCCGTCCAGTCAGTTTATAACTTCTGACATTACTGGCCCAGTGTACACCATGTTAACATGATCAGAGATACTTAAGTCAGAAGAAGATGGCTTTATTGCTCTGAGCCAGAAGACTACTTCAAGGTAACAAGTACACACAAGCATACACACAGTACCACCACTTGTAACAAAAACAAACAAAAATACACACTTAGACGAACAACCTGTTCTAACCGGTGCAGATGAGTCACTATGTTGCTCATGTTGTTATTTATTCAATACCATAAAGTCTCTGTGTACTGTCCAGTTTTTCATTATTGTGACGCTCTCTCTCCTTACGTTAACACGTTTAACGTGAGAGAGTAACCATCTGGGTCATTACTGACGTATTTTGCTGTGCCTCTGGTCTCCTAGCTCTTAAATCTGTCAGAGATCTTTCCTTACCGGAAAAGAGCCTGCCACTGTGTGCATAGATTTACTGTCTGCTAAGAGACGCCTTAATATTCTGTTGTACATTACATGTCAGACAACGTGAAAATAACTTCCCTGTACAATAAACACTTACTTTTGAAGTACTTTATATGTAAAATGAAGGGAGACAAATTTTGATGTTTTCCCCCTTCACGATTTCCTATTTTGTCACACTTAAAAGTTTAATACTCTGTTAACTTAGATCTGTGAAGCCTGCAGTTCTTTAATGTTCTTCTGGATCCTTTTGTAACACCCAGGATGAGTCGGCGATGTGCTCTTTTCTCATTTTGGTCAGCCAGTCACTCCTGGGAAGCTTCACCACTGTTCCATGTTTTCACCATTTATGTATAATGGCTCTCGCCATGGTTCACTGGAGTCCCAAAACCTTAGAAATGTGCTATGATGTGTTCCTTTTTAAGGTCTTTTAACCTGCTTCACTTTGTCAGACGGTTTCTATTTAAGTCATTTTTTGATTCAACAGGACGTCCAGTAGTGGTGCAACGGATAAAAATCTCAAGGTTCGGATCGGATCACGGTTTTAAGTCACGGATCGGATCAATTTTCAGATCAGCAAAAAAAGAAAAAGACAAAAATTTAACATTTACTTATTCACTTATTGAAGTATTTTTTGCCTGTTAAAAACATTCAACTCAAGACTCATTCCACGCAATTATTTTAAAAAATTTATGGTTCAATATAGGGCAG